ACGGTGTATGGTTCAAGTCTGGGGGGTGGATAGATCCTTCATACATTCAGGTCTATCTACTTAGGATTGCATTTAGTTTAGGTGCATTTTATCATAGCATATAGACTTAGGAAAATTTTTCATTTTCTGCATATCACTTTGCATTAGTTGCATTTACACGTTTCCCTTTTTGTTTTTTCATATGAATGTATGAAGGATCTGTCCACCCCCCCAGACTTGAACCATACACCGTCCACGGTGTAGACTCTCGCCCGGAAAAGTAGAGTCGAAGACGACATATGAAAAGAACCAATAAGAGGAATAGAGAAACTTAGCTCTGCGAAATTCGTTCGCTCGCAACGAAGTTAACTCACGTCAAACGCAAAAGCTCTCACACACTCTGTGAATTGGAACCTATCCAACGTTGTCTCTCGGAAGTCAATGCTCATCTCTCGTGTGCCGGTGTAAACGCTCATAGAACAACAAACGTTATCCGAACAAAAGCATAATAATAGCAATGCATTCCGGAGGATCCAAAATACAATCATGGTCTCTACTACCTATGCTACAAAGAAAAAGAAAAAGAAGAGTTACCTAGTGCTCGGGTTGCCTCCCGAGAAGCGCTTGTTTAACGTCATTAGCTCGACCTATCTTGCTCAAATGATGGGAGGGTCTGAGAGGCGAAGATAATCGATCTTTCGCCACCCTAGATGTTCAGCGTTAAGCGCATCTTTTGGACCTCGTGGATGCTTGAGCCTTCTATCCTCCTTGGGTTTCCAAACTTGTGAAGGAGGTGGATCTTGTGGACGTTTGAGCGATGATTTTGCTCGTTTCGATCCTCTCTTGCTCATTGCTCCTGCTCGACAACCTGTAATAGAAGGTTCAACAATGGTTATAGGATTATGAGCAGGATACGTACCTCTCTCCAATGATGGTCCTATGTGTTCCTTTGTCATAAGCCTTTGAGGTAAGGGCTTCAATTTGACCTTCGGGACATTCTCTAGACTCCAATCCGCTTTATTCAGCGTCCCCGTGCTAGGTGGTGGCTCTCTGGTCTCTTGAACGTCTTTAATAATCATCGTGGAGGGTTCGGAGACGTTCGTAGAAGAATCGGGTACATCGATGTGAAAAACGTCCGATTTGCTCAGAGACTGGATCCGGTCCGATTCCAGGTGGAATCGGTCCGTTTCCAGTTTGTCTTCAGTTTGGATCCGGTCCGATTCCAGGTGGA